ATATGTATATATACAAATATATAAATATAATATATATACAAATATAATATATATGGTAGTTTTACATGATTGGCTATAATGATCTTTATATTATGAAAAGGTGTACTAGGATTGAAAACATAAAATACCAAGAATTCTCACATGAACCTCCCACCAGTATCTGGTCATATAGCCCAGAAACCCAGATATTCCTTCTCCATCTTGTATATAGCACATAAACCCAGATAGTCCTCCCTTATCATACATGTAGCAGAGAAACCCAGACAGTCCTCCCGCCCACCCAGCATGTAGAAGAGAAGCCCAAATAGTCCTCATGCCCACACTGAATGTAGCAGAGAAACCCAGATAGTCTTCCCGCAACCTGCATGTAACAGAAACCCAAATAGTCCTCCTCCCATTCCAGAGATGGGTGAATAAGATCAAAATAAATTGTACAAAAATCTCAAAGAAATCATTTTAAACATGAGAAAAGAAGACCATCCATTCCATGTTCTGGTATTGGGGAGACCTAGAACTTGGTAGTTGGAGAGTAATTCCACACTTATTTCTTTCCTTCAGGTCCTATCTGAGTTATAAGAAAGGCACCACCAGGAGGCTTCCTTCACAAAATAAAGGAGGCCTCATAAAGCCCTGAGAGTAGGGGACACCTTGGAGGCAGCCTGTGAAACCACGCAAAAGGCCAATGTGACTGTGGCAGAGCGGGAAGGCGACTGAGAACCTTGTCAGACCTTCAATTTTTTTTCTCATTTTTTTCATTCTAACATGTAACAAAAAGTGATGAAGTGTAATTTAAGACTGAGTATTAAATTTAAATCTAATGAAATCTCAGCACTATCTTACAGCATTAAATTAATTTATAAATGATTTTGAAAGATTACATTTGCAATCATTTTTTCAGCTTCATGAATTTAGCTTAAGTGTTTCTTATCAGGCACAGCATTTTAAAAATACATCTTAAAACTTGAGTTAGGGCCTGGAGGGATGGCCTGGTGGATAAGAACCTGAGCACTGCCCTTCCAGAAGACCCAAGTTCTGAGCACTCATGACGGGTGGATCACAATTGCCTGTAACTTCGGCTCCTGGGATCCCATATTCCTGTCCTACGTGGGCACCTGCACTCCCGTGCACACACCCACATTCGCAAAGACACACACACACACACACATGTATGCACACAATATTCTCCATGGGAGGCCTGCCCCTTTCTGAAAGGAGAGAAAGGAGGACTGGATGGTGGGGGTTTATGGGAGGTGGGAAGAGAATGGGAGGAGAGTTGGGAGGGGAAACTGTGGTCATCATGTAAAATAAATGAAAAAAACCACCACAACAAAAAGTAACTCAAGACTGTGCAACTTTTGATAAAATGAATGTTCCAGATCGAGTTTGAGCTAATCGATCCTCTAGCAGCTCTACGTTGAGAACACGCATAGGCTTTTCATTCTACTGCACTGGGCACGGTGCATCTGATTCTCCTGTGCTGAGCTCCCTGCGCACTAGAGAATGGTTGACTCCAGCCCTGACTGACGCCAGCCCTGACCTCCACCCAGAACAGATAAACTGTCTCCGGACACTTCCACCTGTTCCTAAAGCAAAGTTCCCTGTACTTTGAGAAGAACTACTTTGAAATTTCTCACCACTGCTTGATACAAATTTAAACCTTTGGGAAGCAATTACTACATAAGAGGTATGCTTAAGTACTATCACAGCCCCAGGAAAGGTGCATAAGTCCATCGCGTGGGATGGAGATAGGGCTCCACAGTAGAATGTTTGCCTACCCTGGGCTGGATCCACAGCACAACAAAACAGAAGAGCCACTTGCACTTGTGCATGGACACAAAGAGTCACAGAAATCTTTCTTCATACAGAAAGAGAGAAAACTGAATAGACAGACACAAGAAGCAGAACTAACAGATTAAAACTGCCTTTTTGAATCTTTAGACAAACTTTGTGGTAAACTTAATCTACTCACCTTTCTTCACGTAATTTTCGCACTCGCTCAGCCCGCTCTCGCTTCTCTTGCTCCTCAAGAGCTCGCTGTTCAGTTGTGTCTTTTTGGATGCGCTCACTTAAGGCATCAAAGTCTTTTGCAATGATGTGCAGTAGCCAATAAAGCCCCTTTTTAATGGACTTGTCAATTTTCTTTCCATAGCCTAAGACTGCTGAACAAGGTTCCTAGAACAAATCATTTGACCCAATGATTAAAACTAAAAATTCTCCACATGAACATATTCATAAACCATTAAATATCATTATTGATAAAGTAAAAATTAGCTTTTTAAGTTAATAATAAATTTAGTACTACCAGAAGTTGAGAATAATTATAGATATTATCCATGTGACATCATGAATAAAATGAGAGGACCAGATAAATTTTATGAAACGTTACTGGATGATAAACTGAACTGCCCTGAGAAAAGCGCTGTTATGTATTAAGAACACCGGGGAGGACCAGGTGCAGTAGTACACACCTTTCTACCCAGCACTCTAGAGGCAGAGAAAGGTACATAGATTTTTTGAGAGTTTGAAGCCAGCCAGGGTGACATAGACTCTGTCTCAAAAAAAAGGAGAGTATGGGGGGAAAAATGTAAGTTGTAAATTCTTATGCTGAGTCAGGCGAGGTGGCTCACACTTTTAATCCCAGCACTCAGGAGGCAGAGGAAGGTGGAACTCTGTTGAGTTCAAGGCCAGCCTGGTCTTTAATCGAGTTCCAGGACAACCAGACACAAAAAATCTGTCTTGGAAAAAAAAAAAAAACAAGCAAGCAAAGAAGAAAGAACAAAAGAAAATTCTCATGCCAATTAAGTTACAGCAACAGACACATTTATAAGCCTTACAATCTGACGATCATTTCCTGAAAGTTGAATAAATCCTCTATTGTACTCCTAAAGACTATGACAACTCATAGACTGCTGTAACTTTTTAAAAATCATATTGAATTTCTTATGTTAAAATTTTATTTTTTATAGATTTTTTTCCTAATTTCCAAAATTTGCAACATGAAAGTTTACTGGTTCTATAAGCAATATCTACAAAAAAAACATAAGAAATTTAGACATAATGCAGGAAGGTTTCTAGAAGTCAGTGAAAACAGAAGAAATATTACAGTATTAGCTACTATAAACCGAAAATGACAGAATGGTATATGGCATAAAAATTATTTCAATAGTGTTCTTATTATCTTTTTACATTTATTTATTAATCTGGGGGTGCACAGCAATCATCACAGCATAAGAGGTCATGAGACAACCTGACTCCTGTCTGCTGTCTCCTACACATGGATCCAGGAACTCAGTGGTAAAGCCTGGATGACTTCTCAGCTAAGCTATCGTTACAGCACGGCCCCAAAAGACTGTTTTCTAGTTGACTATCACTCTTATAGAAACTATGTTTTCTGAACAAAATTAAAAAGTAGTAATGATAATTAAGAACAACAACAACAATAAACAACTTACTATCTGACACAGGCACTTGTGTTCATTGACCAGCTTTTCCAGAGAGAGACATTCAATCACATCGGCTTCTCCTAAAGCCCCCTCCTTGTCTTGTTTATTTGCCAACCTAGGAACACAGACGAACTGGTTGGTTACAGAGCAAATGTGGAATCATGGCAACTGAAGTGTCCTTTTCATGGTCTCTGTTCCTAAAACTTCTACCGAGTTTAGAATAAGCTGGTTCAGGGATTACTGTAGCATATAGCATAGATGTCATAACTTTGCACAGTTACTGCTCTACAATCCACTGTGGAAGTACTGGCTACTAAAAACAGCAAAAACAACAAGTACAAGCAACCACTAGACAAACAATAAAAACTACCAATAGAAGAAGCAGGCAATTTCCCAGAGCCCACAGACAACAATCCAGACCTTTCCTTCTTGAAAACAATGCTGGTGAGAATGTGAGTTCCAGTCCATGTCACACTGGAGTAACTGACGAAGCAACGATGGAAATCAATATGGACACTCTTCCTGTTCCACCCCATTCTAGACACAGCATTTTCACTATTTCTTAGTTCAGCTTCATGTTGTTTCCGTTCGATAAACAAAAACATATTTTTGGGTGGTATTTCAAAGTTTACAACTGAGCACTGTGGAGAACATGTTGTTTTGTACCATGATTTTTTTCTCTGGACACAAAACTCAGTCCTGAAATTATCTTGATGCAGAATAAAGAAATCGGTACATGACTCTAATTTGCAAAAGGACACATCATACAGGTGATCCAGTGTCCGTTCACCAGTCCTGCATGGAAGGATTTCTTCTTCATCTTCACAAAAGAGTACTGGGAAGAAGTGGTTTTATTTGGATAAGGAGGGGAAGAGAACAGACTTGAGGGAGTGGAAATCTAAAGACAATCTAAATTTTACTTTAATTGCAGCAGGTGTTCATCCCACATCTTCAGTGGGGGTGGGAACACCAAAAACCTAAAGGGTTAGAAATGGGACACTATGAAAGAATTTCATTCCTACATTTTCCTGTAAGTACTTCTTCCTGGTAGAATTAATTTTGAATTTCAATACTGACATAATAAACAGTAGTACTATATAACTGTTATTCTACATTGAACATTATAGAAACTAACTCTAAAGTAAAAATAACAGTACAGAAAGAAAAGTGAAGTGGAAGGTTCGAAGACAAAAGTCTTCTAATTTTGTGAGTTAAGCACTGTGGGATTTCCAAGGAGAAGAGACTTCAACCATAAGTGGAAACCAAAACACTGCACATGAGGCTGCATTCCATTCCCGTTCATGCCTACTTCATTCTGTACTTTCACGTTTTGAAATCTACAAAGAAACCTGTGTTTAGATACACCAGCAGTTTCTGGAAGTAAGGCATCTGCAGGTAGTGTAGACTAGCAAAGAACAGAGAATGCACTCACCCTGTGTGGGCAATTTAACAAGGACTTCCTGTTACCAAGGAGTTCCAGTGAAAATGATCTTCCTTTAATCTAAAGAACAGTGGAGGAACAGGCAGAACCAGATTCTCCAGGTGTGAAGTAAGCAATCCGCGCTCCTCATTTGATAGTAACAGCAAATGTACAACTTTATCTCCAATGTATTTGACTTCACTGTTTGGCTTTCAATTAACTGTATGAGAACCATAAAGAAAGCCCGTGCCTTAGAAGTGATTTAAGCACCGGGATGGAGCATTACACACCATGGCACTCGGATTCTCTCTCAGACTAAGAACTCTAACACCACGGGTGGGAAAACAAGAACAAGACAGTAAGGTGAGTGAATTGGTGTGTGTGTGTGTGTGTGTGTGTGTGTGTGTGTGTGTGCGCGCGCGCGCACACACTATTTAAGGTGAAATATGTACAAACTGAAATGCAGGTACAGATGACAGGAAAGAATGGTTCAGCAGGTCCTTCAATTTACTTTTTAGATTTGCACAGAGCTGCAAGCAGCTGACCTGTCCCGGCTATGATGACCAGAAGAGGCTTGAGGTCAAGTTACCAAGCTTGACGAAATCCTTACTCTAAATCTATAAAAAACGACTTCTCATTTTAGAAACATTAGAGAAGCAGATTCTGTGAAAACAAATCTAAAAATCTTTTTTTAAACACAGTAAATTAATAATGCTATATTTATGTTAGACAGGACTTAGGACTTTCACACTTAATTCTGAACAGAACTTATGTCCAAATTTGACAGAAAATATTAATTTCTCTATTGTTATTTCCCAGGATATGCTAAAACTGATTTGAAGAAAATTTAAAATGGTTTCATTGGAAAGAAGTACTATAAAATATCAAAGCACTCAAGCGTTTTAATGTTGTAGACAGTATGCCCAAAGTACTTAAATTAAAAATTTATCATAGATTTTTCAAGTTATTAGGTCAACTTAATATATAAATTGGGGCCATTTAAATGTGATGAATTTCCTAAGTTCTGGCTATTCCTATATGTGACTTTAATAAATACTCATTTCAAATCAACATTATGACTTTCGTAAGTACTTTCAAAGGAGATATGAAGTTAGCCATGTAATGTGTGAACAATGCCTCTTTAAGGCATGCACTTTAAAATTTAATATGAAGACCATTTCATATCTATTCAACTTCTCTGAATCAGATAAGTAAAAGTTAAAAAATATCCATCAACAACTAACTCTTAATAAAGTTATGATCTTACTATTTATTTAGTTCAACTAGACAACTAACATATCCACATCAAATCAAAAGAAAGAATACTGAACGAATACATTACTGAAAATGTCAGTTAATTCAAGCTTAGAAAATATATATAGTAAGATCTCCCACTTTTACCTTTGAGCTAGAAAATGCTGAAAGTTGCCTTTATATACAAGAACTTAATGTATTTCTTGCAGTACTTACTAACATAGTAACTACAGAGAATTTACTTAAAAAACCCACAAGCATATTAAACATGTATCCCATCATGTATTTTTGTTTTAATTTTATTATTCTTTTTATTTACTATTACTATTATCATTATTGCTATTTTTGTTTTCAAGACAGGGTTTCACTGTGTAGCCTTGGATGTCCTGGAACTCACTTGTAGCCTAGGCTGGCCTTGAGGTCACACAGATGCACCTGTTTCAGCCCCACAGTGCTACTAATGCGGTGTTCACCACCACTGTCTCATGACTCTGGGTATTGCATATTCACGACTGTCTCTAGGAATCTGCGTTCTCTATAACAGTGTGGGGAGTTCCTTTGAGTTACTCCTATTTACTTCTCTCTTTCCCACAAGGAACTATGACATGTTATTATTGCATGTATCAACCATCATTTTTTTCTTTTCTAAAATACCATCCTTAAACTCACAGGTATAGTAAACATTATAGGTGAAATTCAAACCACATAGCAAATCCGAAAATGTGCAGTAGTAAATTAACCATACTGATGATCCTATCTTCTACAGACAGAATACCGCCACACTATGAAAACTGCATAAAATAATGAGCTCATGAATTTCATCTAGCCTAACCAACTCAATGACTTCTTATTGTATGCTTATGTAAACTGTAGCCAAAATTTAAATTCTACTATGCATAGTTCTAATTTATGGATGCAAAATTAAACTGGAAACACTTGCACATATAGCTATAAGTACCAACAGCTAAAAAATGCACACAGACAGCATTTCAGTGCACCTGAGTACTTAAAATAAGTGAATTTCTACATGGACAAACAAAAATTGGAAGATTATAAATATGATAACAAGGTAAAGGTCATCACCTATATCTTCATCAAGGTAGACAGTTATCTGACAAGGGGTCCCCTCTCTGTGTAGTATGGAAGGATATCTGATATAAACTTAACTTTAAAAATACCAATTTAAAACTATCCCAACAGCTTTTAAAATAGTAAAATCTAGGAGGCTCTAGAAATGAAGAGTGAACACATCCACAGTTAGGGGCAGAAGTTAAACACAACTCCATTGGCTACTAGAATAAAATAGTCTATCTTAGAGGCTGGGACTGAGGGCTTAGATATTACAGGAAATAAAACAGAATTTCCTGGATGACCTAGGGAAAACAGAAGACAGCCTGTACAGACACTACCCAGATTATGGTGGACAAAGTCCATGGCTCTAGTGGGAACAACCAAACAACCTTAGATTGAATCTGTAACTTAGAAAGGCATTCCCGCATAATAAAATACCTCAAGAGACAAAATAAATATACTTGTCCACCTTCAAGACAGTAGCTAGACATTAATGGGCACTTGAAAGAAAAGAATTTATTACCAAGAAAAATAACCCAATAATAAAAAGAAACTTTAGCATAAATATGTTAGATATTCCAAAGAAATAAACTGCCAATATAGTAGTCATCAAAAATGATGCACACCATATATACATTATAGCTAACCACATAAGCTCATCTACTTTATACGCATGCCCTTGTATACAGCAGCAAAAAGAAGCCTAATTCTATTTACATGTTTGCATTTTCAAATCAGTAACATAGTGCTCTCAAGAAAGAAATGTTCGAGTATTTACTTGTATTTTGGCATATTCATGAATGTACACATGTGCATTTGCACACCCCTCTGCACTTACTAAAACAACTAACACTTGAGGAAAAAGCTTGAAAAAAAGCATGTCCATAGCATCAATAATTTGCTTCTAGCTTCTTAAAGACGAAAGGGTCATCCCATCCTCAACATGTTAGAGAAGGTGTTGTAATGCCCAGGACTTGACTAGATATGGAGATGGCCACAGTCATAAAAGTGGAAGTGACATCTCCATGTAAGCAAGTTGGAGACCAGAACCCTTGTGAACACACACAGACATGAATGTGAACAAAAATCATTCCGAACTTCAACGCAAGGCTTGGAATAGTCATTGCAGTGCCATATCTTATTGGGCAAAACAAAATTATGTATAATTGTTTACAAATGAAATTTAAATTTTGCAAGGAATTATAATTAAATTTATTACAAAGTTAATAATCTTTTCACTGTAACTCTGAAAATTTGAAATTAAGGATTTAGACTCTTAAAAATTGCATTAAGGGTTATATTGACTCTAATTAACTGTCATTAATTATAATCCATAATTACATATAATATATGACATAACTTGATTAGTATAATTAAAGACGGGAAACTGCTGATACATATCTATAACCTCAGTGCTTGGAAGAAGAAGCAAAAAGGATTATGAGTTCAAGGATAGTCTGGATGAAATAGCAAGACCTGTCTCAAAAATCCAAGAGCCAGTACTGGTAAGATGGCTAACAAGCAAAGGTGACTGCTGTTAATAATGACCTGAGTTCAGCTCCTTGTAATGCACAAAGTAGAAAGGGAAACAACTCCCAGCTCCAGAACTTGTCCTCTAACCTCCACACATGGGCTATGACACATACAGGACACACACACACACACACACACACACACGGACACACACACACACGGACACAGGACACACACACACACACACACACGGACACACACGGACACACACACACACACGGACACACACACACACGGACACAGGACACACACACACACAAACACACACACACACGGACACAGGACACACACACGGACACACACGGACACACACACACACAGACACAGGACACACACACACGGACACACACACACGGACACACACACACACACGCACACACACACATACAGGACACACACACACACACACAAAAGCATGCACATATGTACAACACTACACCACTAATTATATAATAAAAGGAAAACTACAAAAATGAGTTACAAAATCTTGGGGGGGTTTTTTGTTCTTTTTTTTTTTTTTTTGGTTTTTCGAGACAGGGTTTCTCTGTGGTTTTTTGGAGCCTGTCCTGGAACTAGCTCTTGTAGACCAGGCTGGTCTCGAACTCACAGAGATCCGCCTGCCTCTGCCTCCCAAGTGCTGGGATTAAAGGCGTGCGCCACCACCGCCCGGCTTACAAAATCTTTTACCTACAATTAATTGCTTTAGTATTGAAATCTTTTCTCATCAAAACTACTGTTTTCATTTTAATAGAGGACATCAATAATAACAGTCTGAATATTATTCAATATATTCATTCTGTTTAATTTCCTAGACCCATGGAAAAAGGGTAAGAAATATTTCTTGAAGATATGCATGATACACAGATCCATAGTTACATTCCTAAAATAATATCTAATCTTACATTCCTCTGTGACTAATTTTCATTTCACAAGTTTTCTACATGTATTATAGAAAATTATTGCTGTTCACTTCTTTATCAGAAGGTAGAGAAATTACTCCTCGCAAGGAAAGTTGAAAACAGAATGAAGAAGAGGATAGGTAAGAAGAATCCACTTGCTGTGTGCCTAAATACTCCTTCCCTTCTACTTCTGGGTTCGGCCTTTCCCGCTAAGTCACCAAAGGGGAGTTTCAGGCCCAGCAGCAGAGTTTAACTGACATTTTGATGAGATGAGATGAGATGAGATGAGATGAGATGAGATGAGATGAGCGTGAGAGGATGTCAAAGAGGAAATGACATCAGGAGACTATGACAGTGACCCAAGTGAAAGACTGATGTCTGGGACCAGACCGGAAGAGGTGGCTGGCTCCAGACACACTAAGGAAGAAAGGCTGAGAAGTTTTATTGTTGTTTGGAAATGAGCTAAGGTATAAAATATTGAAAAAAAACACTCAAGAATGACACAAGCTTTTGGATTGGAGTCACTGAAAGAACAGAGCGCCACTGACTGAGCTAGAACAATCTGGGCACGGAGACAGTGAACAATCATTTCAGATCTACACACCTTAATGGGACTAAGCAAGCAGACAGGGGTTTTAAGAGGAATCCAGACTGGAGAACCAATGGAATCAACAGAATTTAGTACCATTATTAAAAATAATGGTGGACAATATTCACTTTATAAGTATCCCAATATTCAGAGGTAGGGGAGATGAAAAGCCAGGAGCTTATGGGAGGGTGGGAAAGAATGAGCCAGGGATAAAAGGTAAAACACTTTTTGGACACTGTCTCAAAAACTAATTTTGTCAGCTGTGGCTGTAGTCATATTGCTTCTACCCTCAAAAACATGTTCTAACGATTACCATGTATTCTGTCTCTGTTTCTATTATTCAACTCTCTCACGAACCATTCTGCGACCCTGGGAAACAATTCTATACAAAACAAGTCAAAACAAGCGTTGGAATGCAAAATTCATGTCAATGCCACATTTGCTCTTCATGTGTTTCCTGCTGCGTCTATGATAAACTCACACACCTTATCCCGCATACAACTCAACTACCATCTGCTTCCTATCTACCTGTCTGATTTATTTCCCCTGTTAATTTTCCTTCTCTTAGTTTCTATCTACACAGGCATTAATTTTGTCCTGAATGTACAACAGCCTCAGGCTGGAGAGATGGTTCAGCAGTTAACACCATGCACCATCTCTGCAGAGAACGTGAGTTCCATTCTTAGCACCTGCATCAGGCATCCCACAGTCACCTTTAACTCCAGCTCCTCGGCATCCAACACCTCTGGCCTCGATAGGCACCTCTACTCATATGCGAGCCTCCATTCAAACACATACACACACACACACACACACACACACTTACACACAATTAGAAACAAATATTTTTTAAGTACATCAGTTTTATATTGGTTTGGTATTTTATCTCCTATAGAGACTCTATACTCCTTGTCTCTTCACCAATATTTATATTCACCTTGTCTAACTTCTCAATATTTAGAACTCATAACCCAAATATCTCCTTAAAGTCCTTGTGTAGCAGGCTTTCTTTTGGGCCACCAAGCAGCTCCCAAATCTTGATACACAACTTATTAGTTATGAATACTCAGCCTTATCTAGCTCTTACAATTTAAATTAACTTGTTTCTTTTCATCTATATTTTGCCTTGGAGTATTTTACCTTTCTTTCATTCCGTATGTCTTAACTCCATGTATAGCTTGCTGGTGGGTACCTGGACAAATGGCCCTGCTCATTTCCCTCTGTTTCTCCCTCATTCTCTCTTTTCTTTTCTCTTCTCTCTGGAGCCTAGATTCCTCCTCCTACTTATTCTCTCTGCCCACCAGCCCCACTTATTAGTTATTCAGCTTTTTATTAGACCAATAAGGTGACTTAGGCAGGCAAGGTAAAACAGTAACACATCTTTCATAGTTAAACAAATGCAACACACCTTTACATAGTTACAGTAATATTCCACAATGGCCTTGCCTGATTGTCTGTTAAGACATAAGACGATCTTATGTATCTCTTTATAACTTCATAAACTAGTTCACCTCAGGACAGTTCCATATGCTTACAAAATCTCCTTTATCTGCATTAATACTCCTCCCATATAATTCCCCTCAATAAGCTTTAGAACAATGCTATGTCTAACCATGTTGTATACAAAGATTTTCACATTTCAGAAAATAATTGTAAAAGAGATCTCTTACAATGACTTAAATTTATTTCAATTATTCTCCACTTCATATGGTTTTCTAGTCTTCTCCTTCTATGTTCTTTTGGGAATTTCTAATTTATGAGTTACCATCATAACTCATCATAAACAACATCATTGTTAGTTGGTCCCACTAGAGTCCCAGAATTTGTCCACTGTTTTCCAGGCAGTGTCTGTACAGGCTATAAGTGACACAAGTATCCTTCTTAGTCTATTATCCTGGTGCTTATTATTCTGGTGGCTCAGATTAAAAGCATGATTGAAATCTAATACTTTGTCATAGTTAATGGCTGTGAAACAAAGTCTTCTATTTTACAGATGTGAAGAAGTTTCCTAAGTACTTGATATTTCACATTCTTTCCTGTTAAGCCTACTTTAATACTTTTACATTTAGCATTTGCTTGATGTTACTTTAGTCTCTGAATCTCAGTGTAACTTGAGGAGACTAAAGACGATACTACACTAAGCATCACGAATATATCTGATAACTATATGTATGTGTATTGAAGATTCAAATCATTAACTTAAAAAACTGTAGAAATATGCCAATCATTGAGTCTCACACTACCACATCCTACCTCTATTCAATATTTAAAAAATGTCTAGAGAGCAGTGATCTGTTTATATTGCCACGCAACCTTTTCAAAACTACAAAAGACATTAAGTGCCTTACACACTCAAGGATTAAGGAAATAATGGTTTATTAACAATAGCTTTTATTTGATGCCATGGACAATTAGGAGCACTAGGTAAAAATGTAAGTAACATCAGCATTCTCAGATAAGAATGCATATAAACATGTTCCCAAGTATCTAACAATTATCATAATATGAATTCCTATACATTTTGTCCTAGGAGTTTTGGATCCTTGGAAACAACCGACAGAATGAGAAGTCTGCATAGTCAAAGCAACAATATTTTCATACATGCAAAAAATGAGAAAACAAGATTATATAAAATATGCTAACTCAAAACCTCATTTTACTTATATATTTATATACATACATATATATTGCTTAAAATCCACATTGAATTTATTCTGACATTGTTAGTTTTAATTGAATTATGCATATCTTAAAAAATGAGTATGTACTTAAAGATTTTTAAGTGTCTTGCCTGAATGCACATATGTGTATCACATGTACACTTGGTCCCCACAGGAACGAGGAAAGGGTTTCAGACCTCCTAAAAGTGGAGTTACATATGGTTGTTGAACTGCCATGTGCATGCTGGGAAAGGAGCTGCAGTCCTCTACAAGAGCAGCATGTGCTCCCAACTGCTGAACTATCTCTCCAGTCCCAGAAAACGTCCACTTTAAATATGACATAAGGGAAGGAGATCTATAATAATGGTATTTTTAAGAGGCTAAAGGACAATCCTAACATTAAAGTACAGTCAAACACTTGTAGTAGAAAATCATGTTGTGGATAGTATGATGATACGGATGAATTTATCTGAGGTTCAACTGTATCCTCCGCGCTGTTCTCTCCGTGAGTATACTCAAACAGATGAGACGCACAGCAGGACCAACCATCCACAGTCATTCCTAAATTATCTTGCATTACTTTCTCTATTTATTATTTTTTGGTAATCTCTATGAGGACATTATTTTTGATTCTTCTTCTTTTCTTCCTTAGTTGTTACTCTATAGTTCAGGGTGGCCTCAAATTCCACCTGTGGCCTAGGATAGCCTCAAATTTGCTATACTTTTACCTCAGTCTTGCTACAGGGATTATAGGCAAGAGCCATCATGCCTTGTTGATGTTCCTCGATTTCTAAAATTTCCTGTTAGAAAATAGAATTTTTGCTAAGAGACACACCTCACAGCAACAGCTAGTGGGGAAAAACAGCAACTTCTTCTTTGTTCAATTTCATTATTTTTGTTTTTTAGGAGTAACGGGAAGATGAAAGACCGACTTCAAGAATTAAAACAGAAAACCAAGGAAATCGAACTCTCTCAGGATAGTCGAGTGTTTCCAGAAGCAGAGGAACAAGGGGAGCTTGTCCAGCAAGCTGTTATTTATGAGAGAGAGCCAGTAGCTGAGAGACACCTACATGAGATCCAGAAACTGCAGGAGACTATTAACAGCTTTGCTGAGGATGTTCAAAGGTTTGGACAGCAACAGAAAAGTCTGGTGGCTTCCATGAGAAGGTTTAGCCTACTTAAACGAGACTCGACCATTGCAAAGGAGATCAAAATCCAAGCAGAACACATTAACAGAGCACTGGGTGACTTAGTCAAAGAAGTAAAAAAGTCAGAGGTTGAAAATGGTCCATCATCAGTGGTTACAAGGATACTTCAGTCTCAGTATGCCGCCATGTTCCGCCACTTTCAGCAAAGCATGTTTCTATACAACGAAACAATAGCTTCAAAGCAAGAGAAGTGCAAGACATTCATTGTCCGTCAGCTTGAAGTAGCTGGAAAGGAACTGAAGAAGAAGTGAATGACATGCTTCAGCATGGAAAATGGGAAGTTTTCAACGAAAGCTTACTCACAGAAACCAGCATCACGAAAGCACAGCTCTCAGAGATTGAACAGAGACACAAAGAGCTTGTGAGTCTGGAGAACCAAGTGAAGGACCTCAGGGACCTTTTCATTCAGATCTCTCTTCTGGTAGAGGAACAAGGAGAAAGCATCAACAACATCGAAGTAATGGTGGCCAGCACAAAAGATTACGTTATCAATACCAAAGAGAAATTTGGACTCGCTGTCAAATACAAAAGAAGAAACCCCTGCAGGGCCCTGTGCTGTTGCTGCTGCCCATGCTGTGGCTCCAAATAAAGATGCTATTTTAGAAGCTTCTCAGGGGTTAGAAGTAAGGTTTCCACATTTCAGAGCCGTGTTTTGATTGTCTTTATTTCATGAGTCCAGTCCCATACATTCTATCACTGCTAACAACTCATTTTCCCCTTTAACATTTGCCTTTTAAAGTTACAGAAATACTGGAGCTAGTGACACAAGACAAGCATTTTTCTTAAAATTTCCAGACTAACTATAAAAAGTTAAATTGAAAGATTTTACATTTCTAGAAAAATATTAAGTTCTACTGTTAATTTCTGTAGTCTTAAGATGAGTATTCAAACAAGTGGTAACTACTAATCTGGCTTAGTTGAGAATATTTTGGTAATTAAGAGTTGTATAAAACAAAGTCTCAACAGATGCCAAGGACCATCAAAATGAAGCTAAAATGCCTAGTAAGTCTTTATCCTCAGATAGATGAGTAAACTTGATGATCATTTCGTCCTGGAAAAACCCACTCATAGACTTGATGAAGAATCTGTCTATGCTTAACAATGGTGACTGTCAAGTTAAGACTTACAGTGAGGTAAGACTGTTTTTATGAACTTGGAAATGGACAAAAAAAACTGAATTAAATACAGATTAGAGGCTTGACAAAGTCAAAGTAAAGGCAACTGTGTTCTAGAACATGTGACATCACTTTGTGATGAAGTATGAATTAATGACGAGTCCTAAGCAGTCTTCGACTTTGAGATGATCCTCCTGACAGCCTCCAGGGAGCTTGGATGACACAGGAATGCACCACTGAGCCCATTCTGATCTTTTTCTTTAAACCTTGTCTTTTATTTTGCCCCAGCTGCACTGTTCTTTTCTGTAATGGAGCAGGTTACTCTAGAGGTTCTATACTCTTTTGTTTCTTATGCCTAAAGTAAACCTGTTCTTACTATCACAACTGGAATGTTGTCTCTTGTGGGTGGGTGGACGGCAGACACCATAAAGATATTTAGTCTTCCTACTCGAAGATATGATGTGTCTTCAATTATTTATACAGTTTTTAGTTAGTGGAAAACTCTTGCCATTCCCTATATATGAAAGCACCATGGCCATCTTTGTGACATTTTTGTTTTGTTTTGTTTCTATTGCTATTATGAAGTAATATTTCTCTCCAGTAAATATTTGCCACTGTTGTCAACAAAGATATATAACACTTGCCTTTGAGAAAGTCCTTCCCTGACTAGTCACCCTAGCAAGGGTATCCTGATAACCTGTGGCATCTCCTCACCCTTACTTTAAGTGTCTGCTGGAGCTTAACACCATCTTCTAGGTCTGTTTGTTACTTGCTTCTGTGTTAGCATGTGAATTTCCAATTGATTTCCTGTGCAAGACCAAACAATATCCATAGGTCTCTAAGAGTACTTTTCTCAAATTTACTCAGTTATCTCATTTCCCTTGTACACCGTCTCCCCTCCTTATAATATGGAAGGCTGTGTTTCTGCTCCAACCCATGGCATCTTCATTAGCCCCCAATTCCACCCTTGTGTTTGCAGTATTCCTTCTCTTTGCAATATCTGGAGTGAGCTCCTCCTCTGGGTCACTGTCTTCAGCATAGTGCTCTGTGTTTCCTGTATCAGATGCCCTTGAGTGAGCCCTTCACATCTCTTCAGGACTGACTCCTTACTGGAGGGTTCTGTTTAAAGTCTTGGCCAGAGCGGTGAAAAAAAAAAAAAAGTGAGAGAATTCATCTGTGACAATTTCCTTAAAGACCCTTAAGACAAAGTTATCAATTGAGAGGAGCAGAGTTAAGGGGGCAAGAGAATGAATGAAACAATCAGGTCAGAGGGAAGGATTGAGTCATCCTGGAAAATGGCAGGAGAATAACCAGGGGGCATGCAGGGCCCATCTGAACGTATTGGGATAACTTTCATGTGATCTCTGCCAGGACACACTTGCGTTTTTAACCTCGCCATGCTCAGCAGCTTGAATGCTGGCAGAGAAAGCGACGATCCCTGTCTGCTCAGGGTGGTGGCTCTCCCACACCTGTGCAATGCAAGAAGTGTGTGCTGGGAAAGCTGGGGAACTTGAAAGGATTAAATTGCCATGTTACACCATATTAAAAGTACTACAAAGTAATTTTAGTTAAAAAATGTAAATTGAATTTCGTTTTATCCTGTCAGTTACCAAGTATCACTGTGGGAAAAGATGTTTCACGTGTCCCAGCTTCAAATGCTTAAAGTAGCATTATGAAAAAGGCTCTAGAAGACTGATGAAAAACTCCAAAGCTGACTGGATAATTACAGTTATCACCTCCACCGTTCCTTTTACGTTTCTATTTAGAGCTTTACATATACTTGGTTACAGCTGTTCTTAAATTATTTATCATGAAAACTAGATTATTAAGAACTATTTAGTATGCATTCGTTCAATTATGCCCAGATGGATGTACAAAAAGTTCTGTTAGTATTTTATCATGCTGATAAAGTAAGACTGACGCCCAGACTTGTTGAAAAGCCGTTAATAATATTCTGTTTCATTGCTACATTCTTTATCATAATGAGTTATACATATTAATGGGTTCAAACACGGCATTCCTGCACGTGCATTATTGTGCTTTGTCTTATCCACCTTCTTCTGTCTCACACTCTTCTCTGGTAGCTGCTTTCTACTCTCAAGTCTGCCTCCCTCCAGGCTCCATAGATTCTACATTCTATATAGAAGAGAAAAAAATGTTACATTTGTCTTTCTCTCTCTGGATAATTTCACTTAACCTGGTAAACCTACATGCTTCCATTTTCTTACAAATGACTTGATTTTGTTCTTTTACGTTGCTTCTGTGTTGATTTCCACCTAGGCTAATGCAATATCATAGCTATGGCAAATAATACCTTATGTCTATGTCCTCAATTGCTTAGTATTAACCTAACCTAAGCAACAAGGACAATATATTTAATCAATAATTAAATATTTTGTATACTTTATTCCATATTTAATACAAAGTAAAAGCATCAATCTTTTTCTTAGTATAACTATCTGAAAGAGAAAACTAATTATTGAAAGAGTTGATGGAACAACATTAGAAATCTGCTGGCTCTGGAAACAGAAGTCAAAAATAACAAATTTTAAAAAAGAACAATTAAAGTCTTTTGGGTGAATGTTAACACCACTAAATTGGTTTAAGTGGTTTGAATTCATCTAACAGTTTGAAGCACTGTACCATCAGCAATAATATTCCAATCCATTTCCAGAACAGTAGGAACACTCTTTCATTATCTGAATCCACATGTCAGCACAGGCAGGCACACGCTTGCTCATTTACAAGCAGAGTCATAGAGAGAATTGGTAACTCTCCTGACCGTGTGGTAGTTGCACATCTGATCCCTAGCTTGGGCTGGAAGGTCACTGGGACTTCCACGTCAGCCTGGGCTACAGTGTGAGACCTTGTCTCAAGGAAACCAAGGAAGGAAGAGGAAGAAGGGAAACAACAGTAGGGGAGGAGGGAAAGGGTATCTCCTGATTCCAAAGGTCTCACCCTCAAAATACTGAAGGTGAAAACAGTAAAGCAGGAGGTCCATGGCAACGTGTTCTTCATGAGCTTTAAAGAGTGTGATAGTGGGAGCAGCGTGCAGCATACGGTGACGAAGGCCGGAGTGCAAGTCCACAGTGTAAGCAAATGGAGATGGCAGCCTCGAGAGGTTCCACAGAAGCTCAGCTCCCAACAATGGAACTGTAGCTTCAGTGTGCAGTGGACTTGGAGGATGAAGCTGATCAAGGCAATCAGACTTCTGTTAAATAATTCCTGGTTATGTGATTTGGGGGTCCACAATAAAGACCTATCACTATATGGTAAGATGCATCACTATTCTAATAGCTAAACTGGACTAGCATAGGTTGAATTTTTAGTATCCTGAAAAGAAATTTTTGTTGGTGGCTTCAGAGATATTCTGGATGAAAATATTAGATAACTCGACTGGGCTTCAAAAAGGTAACAGGCAGAGTGATTTATTATCTCTCTAAGGACAACTGTCAAGACTACACAAGAAAGAGAAAGTCTATAAATGGCACCAATCTTCCTAGAACATTGCTATCAACTGCAGATAATGAAAATTTCAATATATTAAGTTACAGGATAAAACTTACAGTTCCACTTATTTAATAGGAAATCAAATAGTGCCTTGTACATTAATTCAACATGTAGTAGGTATTCAGTATTTGTTGAATTAATATAGGCATAGATGCATATATACACAAAAGAAAATACCAAGAAAAATAAATAAATGACTTGGTTAAAAATATATTCTATTGATAGCAAATAGTGGTTAATATTTTAATTTTTCTTCAGAAACCAGGAAGTCACTGTTTAAATATTTTCAAAGACTATTTTAGCCTGTAGGGCTCAGCAAAGGTCACCTTTCATATATACTTCTATTAAAATTTTACTTCTGATTAAATAAAAGTGAGACTCGAGTCTATAGATGAAGTAACTTCATTAATAAAATACTTAAAAGTTTAAGAACATAACCTTTACCAAAAAATAATCCAATAAAGTTTCAACTTTTATAATCAAAGTTTCAAATAGACTTGTTTAAAAATCTTCATCCGCATGGCCAGGTGGTAGTGGCACACGCTTTTAATCCCAGCACTTGGGAGGCAGAGGCAAGCAAATCTCTGAGTTCGAGGCCAGCCCGGTCTACAAGTGCTAGTTCTGGGACAGGCTCCAAAGCTAAGAAACCTGGTCTCAAAAAACCCCCAAACCCATCCCCCCCCCAAAAAAAAAGCTTCCTCTGCTATTGAGATGAACAGGGACAAAACTCCTCTACATTTTCCCTAATTTAACTACAATGAGTTGATTATTTTCATTCCTTAATAATGAATTACAAGAAGGGGGGCAAAGCAACAAAAAGGCAGTGGCAAAAGCTCGTAACTTCCACTTGAGAAGTAATGTCAACAATTGAGAAGCAAACTGCTTAAACTTTGCTCTGTCTCATGTTACAGCACCATCTGGTGTTTATTGTGTATAAAGGCTATGACTATAAATGTCCTTTTTCAATGTCTTCTACAAATATTCCAGCTTAAGGACAAAATGCTATAAGCATATGACTGGGAGAATAAAGCTAGTCATACTCATACGTGCAATAGGGAAAAATGAAGTCTCAGATTGAGAAATTAAAGTGTCATTACAGAAGGAA